TAAATATTAAAAACGCCCTTTGTATCTTGCGTCAAAAACTACGCGAATAATCAGTTAATATAAATCATTTATTCTTAACCTTGGTCAACAGAAATTTGACCTGACTAAGCTGGCAACCGTTGCACCCGAACACGTTATCGTTGTGGAATGCAAGTTCATATAAAAAGACAAATTGAAAGTGACCATAAATTCTGCGGTTGGGAAGTTTGTACGTCGATGAGGTGGCTCTTACAGAAGTGTTACTTGTCTACTTTTAAATTGTGAGTTATATTCACAATGACAGTGTATTACAATTCTAGTAGTAACATTGTGTAATAATTTGTTGATTATAAATTCAGATATTTTTTGGCAAAACTTTATTTTGTTCTTTTTTTTTTTTTTTTCATTTTTATCATCTCTTTTGCAGTTTATTGCATGACCAAGTTTTTACGTACAAATTAAGAACTTTTTAATCGTGAAAGTAATAATATTAAATATCTGTATCTCAGTAATAATATGTGTGTTTTACTACAATTATTTAATTTTATTCTTTTTTTCCAGCTTATCAAGTTATTGTGTATTTCTTTGAATAATCCTTTAATTGATGATTTATGTTAGCTTCGTTACAGTTGGCCAGAAATGACAAATCCAGCTGAAAGATTAAATTATTCGCAAGATAGTAGCAGCGATACAGAAACAGATTACAAAGAAACAGATACTAGAGAACAACAAAGATTATACCAAAATAGATTAAGGTAAAATATTAATCGTCAATATAGAGAGACTAAACCATGTTCTTCGCTATATATAATTCAACGATATTAATATATTTTATTATAGTAATAATGCAATTGATATACGGGACATCTGAGTTTTTTCCAACCATGCAGTGTCAGCGTATTCTTAACATGAAAATACGAAAAAATGTTATATTAAATCTACCGGAATATACTATCCGTTCAGACAAATTATTAATTAGGTGATTGAACATTTTTTTTATCATTTTTTAATAAAGTTTTAAATGACCTATTTATATTTTTGTGAATAGAATACACTGACACCATTTGACTAGGTAAACCTCAGATAACCTTTATATATTTATCTATTATTCAATTCAATTGTTATACAAAATATTTGAAATTTCAACATGAAATATATGTACATATATAATATATAAAAATGTATATGTATATGTATTGATAATAGCAGTAGATTATATATGATCTCATTTCTTAAATAATAATATTTATAGACTTGTAGCATGCACATTTAATACTTTAAACTTGTTATATGCATGTCTCACATTCTCTTTAAATTATGAACAAATTACTTATCTATATCCAATGCTAGATTAGTAGTAAAATATATCTGTAATTATAAGAATATATTTATAAATTTAGTCGCGAAGCTCTAGCGTTGAAAGAAATACATTTAACTATTTATACTCATTCAATGATTAAACTACATTACAATCTGTAACTAACTGTTTATATCTATGAGAAAAAAAATCTCATCACTGTGTGAAGTTGCATCATGCAAAAGCTTGTCTTTTAGATATACATTTTGTGCGATACATTTTGTCATTGGCATGATGTAGCCATCATTCACACCACATATTCATATCTTCTTAGTTAAATTTTCTTTAAAAGTGTTTAGATCACATCTTATTGAAGAAACATTATTGAATTAGTTTAAAATCAGTAAATGTCACTCGATGCTTGTCATTGGTAGCAATTAGTAAGGAAATGTGGTTGTTTTGCATGTAGTTGTGGTGGTTCGTCCAAACCAAAACCTTGTCTGGTACAGAAGGATGGAAGCAACGATCCACATTGCCATTATAATTCAAGCAGACATGGCACAAATATAAATCAATCGAGCAGGTAATGCACTAAGGTAAAAAATATAGAGATCATTGGTAGCGCTTGTTTTGTTTTAAAGATTCACTTTTCTCTTATTGATATATCACTTCATATTTTATTATATATTGAAACAAAAGACATCTTTCTCTATTTGAATTTTTTATAGTTATCACGCATCAACTATTTCCCTTCATTTTCATATTAATGTTAAAACAGTCTACACCTTGTATTCAATAAGGTAGGTTTCTCTATTACTTTATTATGTACCCAATGATGCTTTATATGTTTATTATCCTAATTTATTGTTTGTATTGCATTATTTTTATTTAATCGAAACAAATTAATTATAACATAATATTCTTATTTCTTTAGACTCCGCTCTGGAGTTGGGGTCGGAAAAAGTCAACAAAACCAAAGTAGAGATATTATACCATGCAGCAATTTAACTACAGAGGCTAGTATACCGCTAAGTAGTGATGAACGAATAACATTGATCGTTGATAATACAAGGTAAATTATAAACTCTGTAATTATTATTATTAAATAGGTAAATGAGAAATATGCAGAATATATGAATATAACTTATATAAAATTCACATTTTAGATTTGTTATAGACCCAGCTTTATTTACTGCACGCCCAAATACAATGTTAGGAAGAATGTTTAGTTCTGGAGTAGAATATGCTCAGCCAAATGAACGCGGTGAATACAAAGTTGCCGACGGAATATCAGCTATGGTGTTTCAAGCTATTCTTGAATATTACAAAGGTGGAATAATACGTTGTCCTCCTACAGTTACTGTACAAGAATTACGTGAAGCTTGCGATTATCTTCTTGTTCCATTTAATGCAAGTACAGTAAAGTGTCAAAACTTAAGTAAGTTAATCATTTTACAAATATTTCAATAATTAATCGCCATAAATAGAATGTAGCCTTGTTGAATTGTTTTTTCTAAACTGCTTTATTATAGGAGGATTATTACATGAATTATCTAACGAAGGTGCTCGCTGCCAATTTGAAAGGTTCTTAGAAGATTTAATGTTGCCTTTGATGGTAAATAGTGCACGTAGAGGTGATAGAGAGTGTCACATTGTCGTTTTATTGGAAGATGATATAGTCGATTGGGACGAAGAATATCCACCCCAAATGGGAGAAGAATATTCCCAGAGTAAGTGTATCTTTAATACTTAAAAAAACAAAAGGAAGTCATTATAAAATTCTAAATAATTTTCTTTTTATAGCCGTTAACAGTACCGCCATGTATAGATTTTTCAAATACATCGAAAATAGGGACGTAGCTAAACAAGTTATGAAAGAACGTGGCTTGAAAAAGATACGCTTAGGAATCGAGGGTTATCCTACTTATAAAGAAAAAGTTAAAAGAAGGGCTGGCGGTCGTGCCGAAGTTATTTACAATTACGTTCAAAGACCATTCATACATATGTCTTGGGAAAAGGAAGAGGCCAAAAGTCGTCATGTTGATTTTCAATGTTTAAAATCTAAATCAGTTACTAATCTCGCAGAAGCCACTGCCGATCCGGTATTAGACGCCGGAGGAAATCCTATAAATGCACTTTTACAAGGAGCAGAACCAGTGCCTCAACCAGAAGTAGCAATGCCCATGGGTTCTGATGGTGACGTTGAAGGTGGTATAGGTTTATCTGCCGATCAGGACCAGGGACCTTTACCGCCCGATGAGTTATCATGAACCTCACCCGTTAATCGTATGTTTATTTTTTAACACTGACGCACAATTTTGGTTTTTAAATATTCTTTAAAAACACATTTCTTTTTGGATCTTTTTTTGTTGATATAAAAAGTTAGATTAAAGGATATTACTTATAATAACAGCAAATTTTTAATACTGGAGCTGTTGGTTTTACAAGAAATTCATTATGGTAGTTTATATATCCTCATTTGTTTATCGTATTCTCTTTTTCTTTTTTTAAATTAATATATAAATGATGGCTATATATATCTGTCATTTGCGTCAACGTGTTTTAAAGAATGAACATTCGTAACACTTCTTTTCATTCTTTCCTAATTCCAACCCTAAACCCAAATACATGCCAACCTTCTTTTTATCTACCGCTTCTCCCCACATTCATATGCATATATATGGATGGAGCACTGTTTTTTCTGAAACGCGACTGTTCATATCCAAGGCGCTTTGTGGGATAGTCCTTGGATAAACCCAATTTGCTCGTAAGATCTAGTTTAAAAGACGTATTATAACAGTGATTTTTTGTATTTTGTATATATATATATATGATACGAGGTATGTTTCTTATATGCGAAATTGATTGTGTTATTCAAAATACACCGCATTCTTTCGATTCGAATCGATATAAACTTTTCCCATTTTGTACTATCAATAAAGTTTTACAATACGATTTCTCTATAATCTTTTCTAGTTCTTTAGATTATGTATTTTATTTGATCTATTTTAATCTCTAGGTTTCTCTGGATAAGAAAATGTACTCATCATTCTATTACCATTCTAAAGAAAACCTAAGTTCTTTCACTCTAAAAATGTAAACCTTCTAATTGAAGTGAGATTATTTTAATATTATTAATCCTTTATAATTACCTATAATTTTTAAATTACACGTTCATGTATGTCTATTACTTTGCTTAAAAAAAAAAAAATTTATAACATAAAAAATAAAAATAAGAAAAGATTTCTTAAATAATCACACTTTGTGTACATTACTTGCTATTAAAAGTTACTAGGAAATAAGAAAGTATAAATTATATTGAAATCTAGTAACATTTCTAAGCCTCATATCGGTAATAGTAGTGCTCTACCTTTATCTTATTTCACAACTTATTGATAATTAAATAATTAAGTGATAAAGTGTGCAATTAATGTGCAATTAAGAGCACTTATTCATATTTTTTTGCTGTTAAAGTTCCTTGCCAGCGTTCTTACGGTTTCACCAAAAGAAGGTATAAAGAATAGAAGTCGGTAACGATAGAAAATCAGTCGGTATTAAATATTAGCTTGTAGGACTAAAAACAACCCCCTAAAGGAATACCGGAAGTGAATCTGGTTCGACGAGCATCCCTTGATGGCTATACGAAACCGTCAGGGAGGAGGTGAAATTTTCGAAGGTAGTGGAGGAACGAAGAAACGCAGGCGCTGATGCGATCAATAAATGGTCCTTCTATAGTCGAGGGCAAGAAATCAGTAGCGTACGAGTACGCGATCAGCGAAGGTGGGTGAATGCATTTGTTGTCAGACGAGAGAAGTACGAAAACAACGGGCCACCACCTTCCGGTGCGTGCGAACGGTGTGAAAACGGGCTGCCAGGTAGTGAGGGTTGCAAACTAGGCGGCTCGTTCAGCAGCATGCAACCACCACCTAGAAAAGTAAGCCTAACTGTTCTCCAATATTTTATTTCTATGATAATAATTTCTTCATTTATCTTTTTTTTTTTTTCTTTTTAATTTCATTCTTTCTCTTTTTATATAAATATGTATGTACTTCCTTCTATATGTGTATATATCTATTTGTCTGCTTTATAAGATCAACCTTCACCCTTTATTATCATCGTTATACTCAATGAACTTAACCGGATTCCCTAGTTCTCGCGCATACTCAGCATTTTACGCTGATCTTTCATAGTAACTTATTTTTCTTCTTCTTCTGTAGCCTTAGATAAAGGTTTCTTGAATTGTCATCGTTATCTTTCATTCCATTCTTCTTTCTTTTTTTCTTTCTTCCTATCTCAACCCTCTCTCACCCTTTCTATATATCTCTCAGTATATCGATCTTCGACGTCAGCGTACGCAAAAATTGACGTAAGCAGCGCCTCGACGGCACCACGATGAGAAAATCAATGCATGCTTCGGCGCACGTTTACAAATCTATGCCAAATGATCTCGTAGTTTTCTTAGATAATCAGGGCAAGGACCTGTGCTGAATATCCGCTGTTATGAAATCAAACGGGGCTTCAACCTGCATGATGATAGATCCCTTGCGTGAACGCGAATGATACAAAACGCATAACAGAAAAAGAAAAACATTTTATTCCTCAACAAACCCCTTCTTCAATTCTACCTCAATTCTATCTCAACCCCCCCCCTCAACCCCAAATTTCTGACCCACTTTACTTTATCACTCCGTCACACCTGTCGACGTTTCGATCTTACTATGATAACATCATCCAATCCTGTGATTATTTCATTTTCATAGGACCAACATTCTATATAGAGAGAGAGAGAGAGAGAGATATCTTAGAAATTATAATAGAAAAATTATCATTCTATTGGATCTTATAGTTCTATCTATACTGAATCAGTTTATAGCTACCAAGGACGAGTCATTTTATCGGAAAAAGAATTTCAAACGCTTTCGTTCAACTAGAGAAAAAGAAGAAGAAGAAGTTATTTAATATTAATGAACAAATTGAGTGTTTCTTTTTTCTTTTTTTTTTTTTTTTTAAATCACTTTATTAGTTTTCTCTACCCTGAAAAACTTTTTCTTTCGAATTTTTACTCGATAAGCTTTAGTCATATAATCTCAACTATTTCTAGTTAGTATATTATAAGAATGCAAGAAAAGTTAGGAAATCTAGTACATCATCGGTTGTATTACATAATCGATATATATCCTACACTTATAATTTCTCTTAAACATAAAAAATTCAAACGCTTAACAATAGTTTCTGTTTTTTGATTATGAAATTATATCAATGTGTATTGATCTTTTAGGGAAATTATGCAAAATTTCTTAAAAATGTACACACCGAACAAGCTGCAAAGTTGCAAGCGAAAAATCAACATGAGTGCGATTTGCTGGAAGATATTCGGTGAGTTAGATTAAAAAAAAAACACACAACGAATTGTTATATAATGAAATAAATTAATAATAGTCGTTTAAATGTTATTTTAAATAACGTGTTAACTTTATTATCATGATGAACCTGTTTCAGTAACTTTACTATTAAAAAATCCGCGATCGAAAAGTCATATTCCGAGGTAAGCTTAAAATATTGATAATATTTTGTCATGCAATGAGAAAAAAAAAAAAAGAAATTCACATTTACATGTAAAACGTGAATGATTTATGCATAAGATCGATACCGTTGTGTAGAGTATCATAGTGAAAATGTTTTAGGCATTGCTCAAAATATCTTCCGCATATTTGAATAAAAAGATACCAAACATTCCGGATCTCAAGGTTGAGGGAGTAGATGAAAAATGGTAACAGTATTGTTTTTATAATAGCGCAATAATCTCGCTATTATTTATTAGGTGAAATGAAATATGTTAAAGATACCATACATTATAGGAATATGTGGAATGTATGGAGAACGGTACTCGAGGAAAATGAAAAACTTGCGAGAGCACGATTAGCTGCCGTTGAAGTTTTTCAACAACAAATCGCCGACGATGCGAAAAGTTTAAGAATGCACAAAATTCAAATTTCGAAAAAGGTACATTTTAATAAATTAAATCATAGGAATATTACTAGCAGCCGCCTAAACCTCCCCCCCATAGTCAATTTGAAATTATTTATATTTATTTGTAATGTAAAGTTTCCACACACATTTTATTATTAAAAAAGAATATAATTGAACATAAAAAAGATTGGTCATACATAAGTATTTGTAATTGCATAAAATACAAAAAAAAATAACAATACAATGAATATTTATCTAAGTATTCTAAGTAGTCTAACATTTCGTTGATGACAAAGTCTCTTTTAAAATCTTTGTCTATTGATTTCGCACATCAAAAAAAAAGAGGAAGAAACTTATGGGACAACCTAATACAATGTACACACGATTTTATCGGAATAGACACGACCTGATTTTTCATTTATCTTTTAGGCAATCGACCAATTATTGATAGTACAAAAAGAGTTACAAGCCTGTGTACAGGATGTCGATAAAACGAAAAAATTGTACTTCGACGAGGAACACAGTGCTCATGACGTTCGTGATAAAGCGAAAGATATAGAAGAAAAGTATGTATTTAACATTGTTTGTTTGTTTTTCTTTTTTTTAATTTATATACGTATATTGCAATTTTGATTACTCTTTATTACATACATTTATTTTTATTATTATATTATATATATCGTAGATTAAAGAAAAAGAAGGGTTCCTTCTTCCAGTCAATAACGTCACTGCAAAAAAATAGCGCTAAGGTAATGATAAAAAAAAACAATTTAACCAATCAACAAGTGGATTTATTATATAGAAATTTGTATTATTAATTAGGTAAGCTCAAAACGCGATGCTTTGGAAGAAAAATCAACAGGAGCTCGCAATGATTATTTACTTAGTCTCGCTGCTGCCAATGCTCATCAAAATAGATATTTTGTAGTTGATTTACAATCTACTATGCAAGTAAGAAAACATTATCGTATACGATTTTTCTTCTTTTTCTTTTTTTTTGTATACAATGTTTTTATGCATATACATTTTATATAGTATTTGGAACAAGGCGTTTACGATAAAGTAGCTGAATATTTAACACTTATGGGTCGTACCGAACTTCTAACATGCCTGGCAACGCAAAATAGTTTTGGAAAAATTCGCGATCAAGCTCAACAGGTAAGACTGTTGATAATATTGTGCATATATATACATACATACTCATATATATATAGATGATATTTCTACAAGATCGAACTATACACAAGAAGAATATTTTAAGAAGATTAATTTAATAAAGTGCTCGCGTTCAATATATTATTTTGAAAGTAGAAAGCAAAAAAAAGAGTAATCCATTAGACGTTTTTCCTTGCCAATGAACAAGAAACTCTATTGACTAGCTTCTTTTTTGCTTTTTCGTTAGAAAATAAATCTATAAATAGTATTAACAATTTTTTAGACAACATCTCTTGCTATATAAACGTGTGTATAAATACATACATAAAATAAAAAATGTATATATATATATATATATATATGCTTTACTAATTGCAGTTAAGTGTATGATCTTCTAGGAATATCCAATGTAAGCTACATTTATGTATATTACCCATGTAATATTTACAGTAAAGGATTTACGTATAGGTGTATGGGTATGATATCGTTGAAAATTATGCTAAAAAGGATTTTAAATTAATATCGACTTTTTTATAGCTCACTAGGGAATATAATATACAATGCTGCTGCCTATATTATCCTGTCTTAAAGCAGCACATACAATATGAATTTGAAGCTTGCGATAGTGATCCGGTAGAAAGGTTCGTATCAATAAAATCATACATCTCACATTGCAATCAAATAACATTATTATAATAATCATAAAAATCAAATCAATGTGCGAATTATATTTTATTACAGGATAACTGCTGATCATGCTGCTGCTACTACTTTGGGTAAAGAAACGCGTCGCTGGTCGACGAGAATTGCTCGTGAAGTTGCTAGTATACGAGAAAATAATCGAAAATTACTAATACTTCAGCAGCTGAAGGACTCTGGACAGAAGGTAAAGAAAACTATATAATAAACAGCACATGATAATTTATTTATTTTTATAGACTGATCCTAGCGATCCAAATGGGCCTGACGTAGATACTAAAATAGATGAATTAAAACATAGTATTCGGCGGGCAGAGGTGTGTGTACTTTTTATTATTATTTATTATTCAATTTTTTTAATCTTTTAGACATATATGTATATATATTTATACATTTTTAATCATTAGACTGCAAAATTGAAAGCAGAGGCAAGAATAGAATGTCTTCGACACGGCGGAGGTCAGTTTAAAAAAAAAGACCAACATTATTCGATGAACCCAAAAAAAATTATATAATTAATATTAATTGGTTACAAAAACAAATATTATTAATTTTTCATTTAGTGAACGTCGACGAATTTCTTCAAGAAGCTGAAACGTTGAGTGTCCAAGACATGCCAAGATCCGCAAGTTCTTTGTCGGTTAGAACTGATGCATCCGGTGCAGGGGTAATAATAAAAAACATTGCACATCTAAAAGAAATCATAATTGAACTGTTATATCTTATAAAAGAATATTTTTAAGCAGGAAAATCCTTCCTCTGACTCATTCTATGATAGTGATGGTGATGGTGGTAGTGATTTAACAACGGTAGAAAGACCTGGTACACGTAATGCACCACAACAAGAGGAAGAGGTTCCAGAAGAAAGACAAAGGCATGATAGTGATGAGGTTGATGGTAACTATCATTATCATTATCATCGTTATGAACGCTTGAACTCTTTGACCGTCCCATTTTTAATGTTTTAGCTTTACTCGAACAAGAGAAACAACGGATAGAACAGTTAACTGCTGGTTGGGATGACCCAACAGCTGTTGATTGGGCAAATGAAGAGAAAGATGAACAAGTTGAAACCCAAGAACCTTCTGCTCCTGTTCAACAAATATACAAATGCACGGCACTATATTCATACACGGTGAATACAATATTTTATATAACAATAATACCTTCTTATATATTGTTTGTTCTTATTTTTAATTAGAATATTGATCCTGTTGTTATAGGCACAAAACCCAGACGAATTGTCGATTGTCGAAAGCGAACAACTCGATGTTGTTGGCGAAGGTGACGGAGATGGTTGGTTGAGGGCTCGAAATTATCGCGGGGAAGAGGGTTACGTACCACAAAATTATTTGGATGTTGAACGAGAACAGGATGCAACGTCTGGTCTTTCTTCTCAAGGACCAGGCCTTGTCCAACAAATATCCTTCTCTTCTGTTGATTATACTATTGATGATCATGATGCTGTTGATCCTGATGCTAATTTACAACCTGCTATAGAACAGCAACAACCGGAGGCCATTGTGCAAAATCATATAAATGGTAAATTATTATGTTTAAAAAATATATTTTTTAATTATCACATATATATGAATCTATTTTATCTAATTTAATGATCAATAGTTGTAGATCTTGAACAATATTGTATCGCTCTTTACGATTACGATGCTACTTGCGAGGAAGAACTTAGCTTCCTTGAAGGTGATATCCTTAAAGTACTTAGGAAAGAACCCCATGATGTTGATGATGGTTGGTGGGAAGGAGAATTACGAGGATCCCGAGGATTGTTTCCATCTCTCGTTGTCGAACCATGTGCTCCTGATGGCTCGCCTTTAACTCCTCAGGTTTGAAAATCGATATCTCAACTAATGAATGGATTTAATATTTAATGACACAAGTTTGATCATTTTATTTTTTTATTTTAGGACGATATGACACCCCCTAGTTCTGCTCCACCTGTCTTTACACCACCCGAAGTGCCGGAATTCTTGCTGGAACAAGAAGCCGCACAATTTATCGCTAATGGTATACTTCTGTTTGATTTCATTTTTTATTTTTTTTTTTTCTTATCAATATTAGAATCAAAAATTTGTCAATATTTGTATAATATTATTTATTAATATAGAACTTATCGATGGCAAAGCTGAAGAAAACGAAGAACAAAGTAGTTTCGCAATAAATTTAACGAGAGGTCAGAAGGATCATTACGGCTCGCAATTTGATGAGGAAGAAACATCCGAACCGCCAGGGATAATCGGTAAGGAATAAATATTAAGAAAATTGTATTACATTTTTACTCTCGTATATTTAACAACAATTATGTAAAAATACAATTTGATTTATTCGAATCTCTTGCAATCCTAGTTGTGGAAGTATCCGAAGATGTGGAAGATAAGGTAAAGATATTCGAATTAACAAAAAAAAGGAAGCTTAAATAAAAATAAATTCAAATCTAGGCGATTATTTCAGATAAATACGTAACATTATTATAATTAATTGTACCTTAACACGACAAATGCTTTTGGTTTTTGTTGTATTAACAGACTACTACTGGCGAGAACGAGAAACAATTATCGGAAAATATTACGGAGAATACTGGAGACAGTGGAAAGGAAGATTTTGGTTTGGGTGTAGCACAAATTGTTATTACAGCGGCAACTCCAATGGAAGAAGTTGAACATCCATTTCCTGGGGTAAACGAGAATACGGATGATACGGTTAAATCAACGGAAGTTTCTGATGGAAGTTCTGAAGCGGATTTACCGTCAAGCGTTACCCCAGATATCAATGAAAGCGACTGCAAAGAAACAACTGTCATTATGAACGAACATGATGAAGTTACTGAAGTTACTGAAGTTACAGAAGTTCCCGAGGATATAGAAGAGAAATCAACGATCGATGATTTGCCAGCCGATTCGGCGCCCTTTCCATTGAGTAGTAGTTCTGGTAGCGAAGCAGATTCAACGTCCGGTCCGAGTACGGCAGATAACTCTCAGTCAATTCCGTCGCGAGGCACTGTGATAGATGCACAGGAAGCTGAAGAGATAGCAATTATACTCGAAAAGGTAGTTTGCGGTGGGAGGGCAAGTATTCCCGACGAATTACAACCTGACCAACTAGAAAAGCTTCAAAATTTAAAAGAATCGAATGCCTAGGAATGACTATACCTCGGAGATGATACCGACTATCCTGCCTTAACAAATAAATGGGCTCTTCCAAAGAATCATCAGAATAAGTTCCAGCATTTGTTGGAGTTTTGGAAATCTCCCGAGGTTATTGGGAAAAAAGACTAATGAATTAACCAAACAACCAAAGATTTTTATGTTAATACAACGTACACAAATCTTTTGCTAGGCAACACTCTAGTAACATATGTAAACCAAGAAGTTGCGACTTTTGCAATTTGCGAGGCATCTATGTACAGTTGTAAGGTAACAAAAAGAATTGTCGATACCTGTAATAGAAAATCTTTTGGTGGTTCATGTACATTATAAGAGAATACAATGGTGTTGCATGTATAAGAGACAATTGTTTTATTTAACATGTTTATAGATGTATATATACATATATATATATATATCATAAAACGATTATTATAGTAGCCCTTTCCAACATGCACCCTTTACCTATGAATAGCATGTTTGAATATAAAAAAAAAAGAATCTTAGATTTAAGATGGCATTCTGAGAGCACCATCCAATCTTATTGTTTCTCCATTTAGAAGCGGATTTTCAATTATATGTTGTGCCAGTTGTGCATACTCGTCAGGTTTACCTAATCTTTGAGGAAAAGGTATCATTTTGCACAAAACGTTGCGTACTTTGTCTGGTAAAGATGATAGTAAAGGTGTATCAAATAATCCAGGTGCAATAGTTACTACACGTATACCATGTTTAGATAAATCACGAGCGATTGGTAAAGTCATTCCAACGATAGCAGCTTTGCTGGCAGAGTACGCGGCTTGTCCTATTTGTCCATCATATGCTGCCACACTTGCTGTATTGATTATAACTCCACGTGCACCATCTTCATTAGGTGTATTTTCACCGATAAGACCAACAGCTAGTCTTATCACATTAAAAGTTCCAAATGTATTTACTTTTATTACTTTCTGAAAATCTTCATAATGATGTGGTTGATTTTTATTAAAATTATATGTCTTATAGGCGACTGCTATTCCTGCTGCATTAACAACTGCAGTTAACTTGCCAAAGTTACTCTTAGCTGCTCCCACAGCGTTCGATACATCTTCTTCCGAAGTGACCTAGACAAATATTCGTCGTATATAAAATTATATAATATTAAAAAAGAAAAAGATAATCATATTATATAAATATTATTATTAATTAGAACTTTAATGTACGTAAATTTAACTTCTTAGTGTCTTACATCAGTTGGTACAAAAATAGCTTGTTTTTCCAATTGATCACTAAGCTCTTGACCTTTTGAAGCAGGAAGATCCGCTATGACAACTTTTGCACCTTCTTTGACAAATCTTAGAACTGTGCCACGACCAAGGCCAGAGGCTCCACCAGTTATTAATGCTACCGTATTCTGAAATGTTTCTTAATTTAATACATTTGTTCCACTATCTTAAATTGATACAAGAAACAATTAAATTAATATAAAAAAAATTTAATATAAAAAATTAATATAAAAAATTAAATATAAAAATTATAGAATTTAATATGTATATCTATTTGTTACAGCTCTTATACATTTAAGTCTTTGGTGCGACAACAAACTTGGTGCTAAACTAATACTTTATTATAATAAATTTTATACGATTATGTGTATTTATTAAAATCAATGATTGTGTATATACATGTCCAAACAAAAATATATATATACTTTCAAATAAAAATCCTTAATAAATTTTGAAAGCATCACCAAATGTAATAACCAGCATTTCTAACGCATGTGACATCATTGAAATCGATTATAATGAGACCTCAATTGTTATCAATTGTTATTAATAAATATCGATAATATAATAATTACCTTGAGCATTGTTGCAGATATTTGAACGAAATTGAAGTATATTTGAAAAGAACTGCACTCTGCTACCGATAAAATGAAAATGTAAGATTGATCAGGTTCAAAACTGCGATGAAAAAAGTAATTGTAAGATATGGACGTTGAACTGTACGGTGTGGCTCTTTTATAGTGCTTAAATCCCCATTACGGATAATCTATAAAAAATAAACATAACCTTTAAAAAGTGAATTAAACCCTTGCAAGAAAAAGATAACGTTTCCCATATAATCTCAAAGGAAAGCTGACGATACTGCACTATTATGACCGAAGAGACCTTTGATAAAAAAATAATATATATAAATTTAAACTTAAGATAATTTAATGGACAAAAAAATTAGAGTATTATTTTTTATATAAATATAAAATATAATAATAATTAATGAGATATAGCAGAGTATATTATTGAAACAAAAAAAAAAACAAATCTTAATTAATACGTCATAAAAATGTCATTTATATCGAGATGATTGAAGAAAAAATTTAAAATTAATTCAAAATGTTATAAAAAATTGTAATAAAATTGAATAATTATAATAATAATAATAATGCATAATTAACCAATGAGAAAGAAACAACAATAAATATGTCGCATTAATGTAAACGTGTATTTTGAAATACTTGGAATAACGTTGTAACAAAGAGTTGTAATTACTAATGACAAGTGGCGCAGTCTAGTGTCAAATGAATGTAAAATAATCGCGCCATTTTGTTCAGTACTGGTTGGACGCGTATGCGTCGCGCTTCGTCCGTCGTAGCGTCGAGATTTTCATGGCGCGTGTCTTTAATGACTGTCAACAGAAATAATAATAATTCTATTAGTTCAATCAAAGTTTTTGATATGATTGTGTGTGATTAGTGTTAATTCAGGATGAAGAAGTCTAGATATTCGAAGATAAGTGTGTTCTTCGTATAGTATTACGAAGGTTAGAAAGAAGTAGAGAAATTCCTCAAAGAAACAAGGGACAAGGATACAAAGGGAAAAACAGGACAACGAATGTCTGCTGCTGCTGCCGTTGTTGCTGTTGAAGGATCCTAACATAAATCGTAATGGATCGCAAAAACAACGTCTATCATTGGGACGTTGATAAAAAAGCGATTCATAAAATGAATAAAGGAATATTATTATTATCTCGGGTAGAAGAGAGAGAAGTGCTGTTTGTACAGGTAAAGAATAATATACAAAAAGAAATAAAAAGAGAGAGAGAGAGAGAGAGAGAGAAAATGAGAGAGAAACAAAGAGAGAATATAAAAAAAAGAAAGGGATGGATTGGACATTAAACTTGTCGTCGAATCGATAAAGCAAGCGTCCCCGTCACACGCACAGAGAGACACCACACTTGCGCGCGCGTACCCGCTTGCGCTCTCACTCTCTCAACGCGTTCCCCTTTCTTTCTTCTTTTTCTCCTTTTTCTTTTTTCTTTTTTTCTCCTTTTCTCTCTCTCTCTCTCTTTATCCCCTTATTTCTTTCCTTTATTTTTTGCCCTCCCACGAGACCGCTGATTCGTCCATCGTAAGTCGTTCGGTAGTCGGAAGGGGTCGATGCCATGCGATGCCAATGTTTTTCATTCTTTGAATATACCTTGACCAGGTTACGCGTTCAACCTTCCCCAACGTATTTTATTTTATTTTGGTTTGTTTTCCATTTTTGTAGATTATTATCTTATCCGAAAAATTATGCATATGTATTAGTTTTTTTTTACTTTTTTTACTTTTTACTTTTTCCTGTTATTACGTATTAGAAAAATTGGACAGGCATGATCCATTTTGTTTATATTGTTGTCGCGTCGTATTCGTTCTCTTTAAATCCAGTTTTCCTAATCGTTCGATTGCAATTCAGTTTTATAACAATCCTTCTTTCATTCAGTTTTTATAGATATTATTTTATAAACAAAAAAATGAGAAAAATAAAAGATTTACATTTTTTAAATATCATTCTATCGGAGTTTACAGTAGTTTTTCACAATCGATTTTATAGTTGATTGGTGGATCGATATCTCATAGATCGAAATTCAAGACTATTTCGAAATGGCCGACATTAAATACACAACAAAGGAAAATTTGAAGGGTTGTGAATTCTTATGATGATTTTTCATGATAAACTTATAAATAGTCATTTATTTTTGTATCGCCTGGCTTATTTTTGTCATAGTTTAAATCAAATTGGCGATTAATAATAAAAAGATGAACGGTTTTATATAGCGTAATAATAGAAATAAGGTCTTGGGGTTGGGTTTGACGTGATTAAATTTGACGAGTAGGCTTTGCATTGCGATCACCAGCCTTATCGAGTGATTTCAATGCATGGATGTAGAATAGAATTGTGATACATTATGTTATTTGATAAAAACATGTTTTCTGCAAATGCAGATGCATTTAAAGAAAAAAATATCAATATAAAAATATATAAATACGTAAATATTATAAATTGATAAAAATGTTTATGTAAATTATGTTATTTTTATAAAAAATTGTGGTGTGTATACATATTTTATAATCATTTGTAAAGAAAATTATAATAGTTGCAAATATCAAAAGAAAAGTTTAAAGGAACATCAATCATACATTTAAATTGTTTTAAATGTTTTCCATTAATCAGAATAATAATTTGAATTTTTTGCTGTTGTCTTAATGTAATTTTTTTTTTCAGGATTAGAATAACAATTCGCAAACAATGCATACTCCAGCTGAAACTGAGAAATTATCCCAACCTGGGATGTTAAATCTTGGGTCTCAGGAACCGGTCACTTCATCTGAAGTGAGCCAAGTCATCTTATCCGCATCTCATCCAGAGACACACATATTTACGAATAGGTGAGAAAAGTCAATTACATTTTTTAATATTGATCAAGGTGTAAAGCGAAGGAAATAATTGGCATGATAATTTTATAAAGAATACTTTATTATTTCTTTCTCTTATAATTTACATGATCATCTCATACATATTTTTAATATCGTTTAATATTATTTTTTTACAAATAAAACTAAATATTAAAATAAGTAATGCACTTTTTTTTTCTTGTAAATCAAATTAATTATTTTTTAAATTTTCGCGCGCATCTCAAATCTAATAAACAGTGTCACGTGATTAATTGTAAATCAAACTTAATTATGTATGTGCACGTATATGTAATAGAGAGAGAGAGAGAGAGAGAGAGAGATATATATAATGTATATTAGCCCTCTATCGGGAGATTATGGTTGGTGTATTTTACGATTTGTCGTGTTTGTGTGTATATGGCGTTAATCTTGTATATACATTATTTCGTACATATTATCTCGGCCGTATCTACATTCCTTTCGTCGAGTGCGTGGAGAGAAAAAAATCGCAAGGTTTTATTTTAATTCGAAATAAAAAAAATAATAAGGTTATTCTTATTGATGCACGTATCACGAATAACACGATGGGTATCGCGCGGTTTTTTTCCAAGAAAGTGCAAGTACAGCCTGACGTAGTAACCTCAGCCGATGTACCTAAGAACGTTGATACAAAGAGGTGAGCTCGAGAATAAATTTTGACAGTATATTGTACGAGCTCGAAAATCAATCATTCCTTGTTTATGACAATTAACAATTTTCGAAACATGTATTTAACAACATAATTCCAATCCCAACGATATTTATAATTATCGAATGAAAATGAAATAAAGTTTTACACGTTTTACAAATTAACCTACACGTACTACAAAACACGGCGGTGATACATCAGATAAGCACTGTTAAAAAAATCCTACCGTATCTTTTGATATGACAAGAAAGTTCGTTGAGATAGTTTATTTGTTGTTTATTTTTTTCTATATCTCTTCAGATACTTTTTGATTGAAATGAAATAATTCATATGATATATATGATTGAATTATTTTCTTATTTTACGATTCATTTATAAAATGTGGTGGTATTATTTAATGACTATTATTCGTTGCGTATAAGAGAGAAAGAGAGAGAGAGAGAGTGTCTCGTGCATGAGTACTACACAGTACGTGCACGCGATTTGTATGACGACGTCACGATAAACGTGACGTGCGTAAACGAGTATATATAAGATGGTATGTACAATTAAAATCTTTTAAAAATTGTATTCCTAGAATTCTCTCATCTGTGCATTCTCTGTTGTTAGAGTTTATTTTTTATTGATTGAAAACAATAGTATCTCATTTCATAGATTGTAGGCGTTTGGAATAATAATATTTTATTCTGATGACTATTAATTGTTTATGTTTACGTTTTATTTAGCATGCTATGTATTCAAGAAGAGTTGGGTCAACTAAGCGGAATCGCAGGAGGTCCAATAATTAATGATACAAAAATTCAAATAAACGACAGCAATCAAACGAATTTGGATAGCAACAGTAATAGCAGCGAATTCGCAACTAAATGTACTTCAGGATCTGTTACCTTAGATGCTCAAAGATCAAGCTGGGTCGAAGGAATATTAGGATGTATGCGACCTGTTTGGACTATGCTATCTAAGGCTGCTGTTAATGAAAAAATTAAAGGACACCAAAGTTAGTAACAAGAAACTTGTGTCACAACTTTGTAATGAAGCTTTAAATGACCTATGTTTATGTAACACATTTATTTTTATACGAATACATATGCATTGGATATGGAATATTATAGCTTATTTAATATAATTAATTTTTTATCATTATAAGTTAAATGTTCTTTTTTTTTTCTAGCTGATGATTGGGAAATACCATTTGAATCTATTAGCGAACTCAAATGGTTAGGTTCTGGAGCTCAGGGTGCAGTTTTTAGTGGAAAATTGAACAAAGAGGTAGTAGCTGTTAAGAAAGTAAGGGAACCACGTGAGACTGATATACGGCATTTACGAAAATTAAATCATCCGAATATAGTACAATTTAAGTAAGTTTATTCATTAAAAAAAAAAAAAAAAAATAAGAAATACTTTTGTTTATTATATGTGATAATTAAAATTATTTTTTATATAGATCTTTGAATATCTTTTCAACGTATAATATTTTTTAGGGGAGTGTGTACACAAGCGCCATGCTATTGTATAATTATGGAGTATTGCCCATATGGACCTTTATACGATTTATTAAGGGATGGGGAACCAGTCCCTCCTCCAAGATTAGTATCTTGGTCAAAACAAATTGCAGCAGGGATGGCTTATCTTCATTCGCATAAAATTATTCATCGAGATCTCAAAAGTCCAAAGTAAAATTTGTCTATTAAATTCTCTTAACATTGTATCTTTTATATTTTGATATATTCTTAATAATATATTATACGTTATAGTGTTTTAATTGGCCAAGGTGAGGTAGTGAAAATAAGTGATTTTGGAACAAGCAGAGAATGGAATGAAATTAGTACCAGAATGAGTTTCGCTGGAACGGTTGCATGGATGGCTCCAGAAATAATTAGAAATGAACCTTGTTCTGAAAAAGTCGATATATGGTCCTATGGCGTTGTACTTTGGGAATTATTAAGCGGAGAAGTACCTTACAAAGATGTTGATTCATCGGCTATTATTTGGGGCGTAGGAAACAACTCTCTTCATTTACCTATTCCAGCAAGTTGTCCAGAAGGATATAGATTATTAGTTAAACAATGTTGGGCTGCTAAACCTCGTAACAGGCCTTCCTTTAAACATATTGAAATTCATCTTGGAATCGCAGCTGTGGAAGTGCTTTGTACAAAATCTGATGAATATTTTAAAACTCAAGTAAATAAAATTAACATCTTAAATATATTATTAACATTTATGTTTTTTTTTTTTTTTTTTATGTAATTAAATATAAATGTCTTTTTATATAATGTCTAGCTATCTTGGAAAAAAGAAATAAGAGTCCATATGAAACAAATGCAATCGAATAGCTCTAGTAGTCCTCGATTTGAAGCTGATCTAATTAGGCGAAGAGAAGATGAATTAAGGCATGCTCAGGATATAAGAGAACATTATGAACGTAAACTCGAACGTACTAATAATCTTTATTTAGAACTAAGCGCTGTATTATTGCAACTGGAACAGCGTGAACGAGACGTAATAAAGTGAGATATATTAACAATCATTATATTTACAGACAATTTAACGTTTAGTTATTCGAACATTTTTTATTTTTCTTTTTTTTTTTTTATATTATGCATTTGTAGAAGAGAACAACAATCGGGATATAAACAATGCAAAAAACGTATAGTACATCCACTTTTGAAAGCACAGGAAAGATTATATCGTAGAAGAAATCCAACAATACAATTTTCAACCTCTTCAACTCCTACAACTCCATCATCTCCTGTTGATTACCCAATAAATCCTCCTAAAGTAACTACTCTTACGCAGTTGAATGAAGCCAATCAACCAGAAACTGTACTAGCATCAAATATTAATAATTTTAAACAATGGAAATATAGACATCGAAGAGTGGGATCTGGTTGTGGAGCCAGTTGTAGTCCTAAGTCGAGTCCTCTTCGTGAAAGAAAGGTAAACGTAATTTAAAAATTAATCATTTTCATTATATAAATGTATATATTAACATGTCAACTGTTAAAATAATTCTATTATATTTGAAAACAAAAAAAAAATATATAGAGAGTGTCATAATATAGGATTAGTGAAGGTGTGTATCATTTATTTTAGAGCAATGAAATAATGGCAAGACTCGTTGATAATCAGACTCAAACAGATATGACGGATATGAGTGGAAATTTAGTGAATTCGATTAAAAACTCAATAGATTGTTCAGAAAAATTTTCAATAGATGGTACCGATAAAAAATCACCCATGGTTGAAAACTCTATGGAATATTTCAATGGGAATCCAATATTATGTGAAACTCATTGTAAAATGCAGTCTAGTTCTTGTTCTAGTCCAGACCATGAGCAAGAAAATAATACGAATGGAAACGAACGATTGGCAGATTGCAGTGACGATGATAATCTTGAGACTCTCGGAAGAAAAGTAACAGAAATTATAAATGCTAATCGTCTTATTTCACCCATAGATAATGGGAATTGTGATGAAGTAATAAAATCACACAGGTATTTTAATCACATTTATTACTATTATCTGATTTGTTGTTGAGTATCCAGCTCGTGACAGGGTTGCTTTAGTATTGATTTTTAATTTTATTTATTATATATGAATGTTTTTTTTTTTTTCAGTAGAGGTAAAGACGAGACTACGAAACTGCCAGTGAACTATTGTTCTGTTGCGAGTACTTTAAATATATCACAGGAACAATCTGAGAATAGAATGAGATCATGTTCGGAATTTGTAAATACTCTATGCAATCACGAAGATGATGCTTGTGACGAAAGTTGGTCGGACGAAGAAGGAGAAGACCCTAATTATAGTTATAATTTTTCTCTTAGACGTAGAAGGTATATTTATTTTTAAATCAATTATATACTCTTTTAGATAATACTAAATATGTACGATATCAAAGTAAATACAAATATGTTTCTACATATTTATAGTATTGCAAGAAGGCCGATTGGCCCAGGCTCTAGATTAAGAAGATTTAAGCAAGCAACCCTTAGAATAGAAGGAGTATTGGCCTCTGACGAGGAGAATACTTCAGAATATTCACACCCTCCGTCCAGTCAATCCTCTACATTAGAAAGTAATCCCGATGTTCAAAGGGTCCTTCGCAATATTCATCATTCACAAAAGGTATATTTTATTTATTTTATTATGACACATTAATAACTATATTTAACATTATTAATTTAACTAAATTTAAAATATTTTTACATTAAAATATATATATATATATGTATGTATATTACTTAATTATATTATTCAGAGAAAAGGAATACATGATGGTACGGATTCTTCGAGTCAGTCGGAAACAGATGAAGTCAGTGAGATTACTATTGCATCTCAACCAAACAATACTAATATAATGAGGTTGAAAAGTAACGTATAGTTCGTATTAGCATCATTTTTAAATTTTATTTAAAAATGATTTCTAATATTAAAATGTCACCTGCAATATTGATCATTATTTAAGTAATCATGTTTCATGTATTCTTATTTTGTACAGCTTATATTACGTATTGCAGATGCTTGTCTATTTCAGGGTATTTCTTAGATTGTATTCGCCATGCATAATTTCTAAGTTAAATTAAATCATAAATCTTCAGATATATGTATGTATCTAGATCGTACATATTTAGATCATACTAAAGAAAAATAAGAAGACATCTTATTAAAATAGGAATAACAAATTATACATATAAAAAAAAATAGAAAATGATATCAGGACAGGAATTTAAAATTTTTATTAAATTTTACTAGATTTGCTAAATTTTTTAATAAAAAACATTAAGTTAGCAAGTTTAACTGGTTCAATTCATTTTGTACAATATAATGAATAACTCATCAAAGCTATGTGTATTTGTTTAATAATGTAATATATTTGACGCATTTCTTTTGTGATTATGATCATATGTAGAAATGTATTTATTTGTGCATTGATTTGAACACGTTAACAATGTACTTTTTTGCAAATCGATTGTCAATTCATTTTGTTCCATAAAAAGGCATCTCATTTTCCTTTATTATTATTATTATTATTTTTTTCGTTTATAGTTCCTTTGTGTTATGTAACGTTTAAAGATGATTGTATCTTTGTGAACGACATGGGAATTATTTTATGATGTAAGTTCAACCGATGTGTATGAAAATACGATTATAAAAATAGTTTCCCCTCCTTTAACAATACCAAATAAACATTGTATAAACATTGTCTTTGGTAAGTCGTAATCAGTAATGGTACAATGCGATAAGACTTTGGATAATAATATATCCTGTACAAATATCTGAGTGCATTAACAAATTGAAATCATTCCAGTAATTCATATAATGGGTTTAATGAATTTATTTTGTATGAACTATTTAGAACAATATATATTACAATTACATTATGAAATAATAGTGCATACGCAAAAGAAATAAAATTAGATTAAATAATAGTGCGTTGAAAATATTTTGCATAGGAGCAGGGGTTTGGCTTTATATAAAAAACAAAAACAAAACAAAAACAGATTAATGAAAGTATTTTTCACGAATAAACGATAAAGGAAAATATTAAACAATAATTAGATAATTTAAATGCGACATAAGAAATATTGATGGCCATTTGTATAAAACACGTCAATTTATATGAATTCGAAAAGATAGTTGCTACGTTTAAATACGTATACATATATATTTATTATATATATATATATAAAGTATAGACTTTCAAAATAATTCCTGAAACATAGTATGGCATCTAATAGAATTTTGATTATTCGAAATATTAAATCTCAAATTTAATAAACAAATTTATATATATAAATGAACTTATAATAATATATTATTTCTAATTTAGGATTAAATATTCGTATATATATATATATATATATATACACAGATATAATAATTTTTTTTTTATACTAATGATTGACAAAAAATTGAATGTTGTCGTTGAATTTGATTATCCAAAAAAAAAAAAAGATTTGAAGGAAATAAATCCTCTATAGTTGTTTTGGATAATCGAGGATCTAAATATACGTTCTTACGTAATTCTAAAGTTAAAAAAACACCAATATTAAAAATTAAATTTAAAAAAAAAAAGCTGAATATATAAAAAGAGAGAATAAATAAGAGCTGATAAAAAGCAATATGTATGTACAGTTGTCATTTAAAGATATAGCGCGCAGGTGACATATTGAATACTAAATACATATATATATATATACATACACACATACATACATACATTGTACTTAATTGTTTATACTCATTCTGTTTTCCAAAGCAGACAAAATAATTCATGAATTTTTTTTCCTAATTTTTAGTCGTTAAATAATCATCGTAGTCATCATCATTATCACCATCATCATCATCATTAGCGCGAAATATACAATGAAAGTTCATCATTTTTTAGACTAGCTTATCATTTTTAAAGAAAATCAATCATTTTATATATATAAAATATTATAAAAAGTCATAATCTGAGTTTGAGAAATAATAAAAAGAAAGAAAGAAAAAAAAAAAACAAAAAAGAATAAACTTTTGGACGATAGCATTTAATTATATTCTGACGATATACTCATTCAGTCAAATTACAAGCAATGAAACTATTATGCAGCTCTCTTATACGCGTTTGACTGTAAAATAAATAGAAAGAGAGAGAGAGAGAAAGAGAGAATTAGAAAAAGTTAACTTTATATTTTACAACGTAAAATATTTCGCATTCACATCTATTGTACCTGCTTTGAAACTCAGATTGCCTTAATGACAATTATTATTATAATATATGTCTGTAAATATGGACAATACAATGTAGATTTACAAAATAATAGTAATTTTAAGATTATAGGCAAAATGTATTGATGTGCTCACTTGATTAAAGAAAGAAAGAAAGAAAGAAAGAAAAAAACAAACAAATAAGTGATTTATAAAGTGTGTAGAGAGAGAAGTATTCATTTCTATAAGAATTATATATATATATGTTGTATTCAACATATTTATGCTAATAGCTACATACATGTTATTGTGTACATTATCCCTTCCCATGCATTGGCAGCTAATTATTTGATTAAAGTCTATTATTCTTTGATAATAGAAATGCTACACATAAATTTCATGTTATGTATAATAAACTTCATTAATACGGCCTAACGCATCTGACTTATTTCTATCTGATTTTAATTAGTATTATTATTTTATTTAATATTAAATATTTATTTGAACATTTAAATATTTCACTACATGGTACTTTATGGTATATATATGTGGTAGATATCATACATATTAGCTTAGGATATTGCAATGAGTATTTGAAAAATCAAAATATTTAAAATATCTTTTACATATTTATATAAAAAATAGTTTGAATTAAGCAGTTAATTATTCTGTTAAATAATCATAGTATTATTGGTCATTGTCTCAGTTTAATACCAAGGGAAATTTATAATATTTTAATTTAAAAAGAAAGAAAAAAAAAGTAAACGAGAATATATAATATTATCGAACAATGCATCGTTATATTTTATTTTAAATAACACATTTTGTTTTTTATTATTCATAATATCCACTCTCTTAGGAATTATTTTTATAACATTTAACAGAGATACATGTAGGCTTTTTAAACATAAAAATTTCATTTATGTTTAAAACTGGTCAAATAAAATCAATGATTAACGCACTAATGTATAATATATATTAAAGAAGTATGCAGCATAAATAAGTAAATAAGTAAATGCCTAAAAGATTCAATGGTCTTCGATCACATATAATTCTATGTTGTAACTTACAATAGCACACATTTTTCTTGTTTTTTTTTTTTCCTTTTTAAGAAAAATTCGAGATACTTCGAGTTATTATGTACAATGTAGTTCAAATATGAACTCTGGTAAATAGGTACATGCATGAGATTTTTCGTTACCCTTAAAAATATTTTGTGTAACGTGCTATACCCTTATAAAGAGACCAAAACTATTAAAAGAGGAAAAATACATCCATAATAGTAATATTAAGATTAATAATAAATAATAACTATTGATTTAAAGTCTTGTTTTTTAGTTATATAAATGAAAAGATTCATTGATTAATATGTTCTTATTTAGAGAACATTGCATGATTAGAGAGAATTGTCGATTAATTTATCGATAATGGGGATTTACCAATAAAATGAATTATGAAGAAATTCTGTCGTAGATTTGTACAAAGATGAAGCACTTTGTCTTAAACCACTAAATAAAGATACGACTCCTTCTTTCTCATCTTCTTGTTCTTCTTCTTCCGGTAAATATTCTGGCATATTTTCAATATCATCTGTGTCTTCTTTATGGGTCTGAGACAAAGAATTTTCATTAATTTTGTTTAATCTTCTTACGGATATGTGAAATAGAAAAGACAAAAGGAAAGAACATTACCAATCTAACTAAAAATTCTTGATTGAATTTATTTTTAGTAACTAGCCACGCTTCCATATTTTCTAAACGTTCTTGTATAACATCAGCAATATGTGTAGCATTAACATTGTTTAATGTACGCATGGTAACACGTTGATGTTCTACATCTATCACAAGAGATATCAATCCCTCAACTTTGATCAACGTTGATTCCAGTTCAGATCGAGTCTCCTATTAAATATATTAATCATCAAAATCGTTAATTGTAGATAACTTTTATTAAAGAGAAAAACAAAATCTTACTGGTAATAAGCCTTGTACATGTAATACGATTACATGAGTTTTCAATTTCTTTCGTTCAATGATTCTGCACCTACTGCGTAAATTATATATTGGTGGTTTCATGCGTTCAATATTATCTTTTAAATGTTGAGCTCTTTTAGATATATCTGGTTCGCTCAATAAAAATCTGTTTACAACGGTGTCTAAGGCTTCTCTTATTCCAAAGGTAGAGGTTATGTGTACATAATTATCAGTATTTTTAATAAACAATTCTAATATATCTAATGAGAGATTGATAATATCTAAGTAAGGTACTTCAAGAATATAAGCTACATAGGACAAGACTGTTTTATCCTGTAATAATCAAAATATATTATAACATTGTATTTATGTATTAAGTTATAGATAAAACAATAATATGACATCGTTTTTTACCTTTAAGATAGTGTCATGGTTAGAAAAATCATTAGCTAATTTTTTATATGTTTCTAAAGTTGCTCTTATTTCCTTAGGATTATCATATTCTTCCGTTTCCATTTTGTACACGTAACGTAAACGGGAATTATTTTGGAAACCCGTGGATCGCAGTAATGAAACTTAATGATTGAGAACATTCAATCTTCTGAAATTGATCAGAAATTAGTTATTTCCTTTTATTTTCACTCAATAGATCTCATGTTATAGTACACTATAGATATATCTCACGATATCAACAACTTACACTTTTAATCACGATTAAAATGAAACATAACGTGTCTTGTAAAAATACAGTGGAAATGAAACGTTTATTATGTTGTTGTTGTTGTTGTTGATGTTGAAGGAGATGATCAAATCATTCGAGTATGTATTTTTAAATATAGATAAATGAAATCGATTGTTTAAAAATTGTATCACAATTAAACAAGGTTAAAAAAAAAAAAAGAATAATGTTTAAAATGAATATATTTACTTTCTATTTACTGTTAAAATACACGAGAGTTGATTTTCAGTGCCAAACATGCTTTCCCCTTTGATTTTTACAGCTGTGAGGCAATCATTCATATAGCTTTGTCAACTTCTAAAGATCTGGTGAAAAAAGAAAGTTTAGAATCACTTTTGTATGTACAGATAATATAAAACATTAAAAAATCGAATTAAAAAGTCAGAATATTTATAGACAAATAATCATATATGTGATAAGGAAGAAATTAAATTAAATAAATAAAAATGGAAGACACAAATGTGATTATTGAAGAAAATTAAAATAAAAGGATTTAACTTGATTTATTTCTGTATCAAGTAGTAGTTAATATGGCGTCTACATTTTGGCAGTGTGCATAAATTTTTTTGCTATTTCTTTTTAATGATTTTCACTTATTAACGAGAGAAAGAATATATATGTAATAAAATTTGTACTGTAGTGCATTAAGTATTTAATAATTAATATTGTTTTACTAATTATTTGAATTTTTACAGATACCTAGAAGAAGAAAACAAACAAATTGTAAAATGCGGCGTTTAAAATTTGGACACATGTTAGGTACAAATATATTTGTATTATTTGTAATTAATTGTGGCTTATTATATTAAAAATAGGAAGAAAACAAGAGTAGCAAAATTTATATATTATACTATATTTATGATTTTATATAATTAATATTGTTTTAATAATTATTTAAATTTATGCAGATCTCTAGCATAAGTTCCTAATAGAGATACCAGATGACGCCATCGTTTCATAATTGGCGCGATTTTTTCGCGGTAGTTTTCTTGAACTCCTGCCATATGTGAAAGTTCCCTTTATTTTCTCGATAAAGTATGCGTTTTGTTGCAATAATTGATGAGTTTTAGACGATCGATTTGTGCCCGCGTATTTTCTGTGTAAAAACTTTTACCAGAACGCGCGAGGGGAGTCTTCATTAATTATTTATTCAATAAGAATATGTTCACTTCTACTTGTGATTGTAAGTAAGAGGAATAACAACAATAATACATTTTTATTTTATTATCTATTTATTTATAACATAACGCATATTTATACTATTTTCGTTTACAGATTCTCGTATTTTTATACATAGAAATAATTTGTTATATCGTTTAAAATGATTCCTGAAAAAAGTAGATCTAATTTTATGATAACAATTTAGATATTATTTTATACAATGAAATTAAGGTCAGAATTTTGTTAAATTTTTATTCTAATATATAACAATATACGTATATCAAACTATTTCTTTATATAAATTATTTTATTTTCGTGTATAGAGAAGTAAATTATTTATTTTTATTTTCCACAATATTTCTCAACAAAATTTTGGTATTGTATTTTATGTATGGGTCTTCCCACAAAATATTAAAATTCAATATATTATGAAATAACAAATTTTTCTAATATAAATAATCAATGAAGAAACAAGTGGACTTTTACGATCTTTAGAAAGGCAGTTTTTCAAAAAGCCATCAAAGTTTTATTGAGAAGAGGGTCATCCGTATGCGGTGCGTCGCATTGCGTTTAGATTTTTGGATGAAATTGTAGGAGTTGCTGGTATAGTAGATAGGTTGGTTGTTCATGGTGGGAGCTGTTCTTTGGGGTGGGCGTTGCTGGGTCGATACAGGGTGGATATCGTCGTCAATCGCAAGAAACGCACCACAGGGTCGAACAAATATTCTCCTTTTTTTGCCATATGTTATTTATTTATTTTCTTTAATATTTTTAAAACTAAACAAAAATATATACGATCACGATGTTATATGTACAAATAATTTATAAAAATTCGATTGAATTTGGATTGTTAATAATGTAAATTATTTTTAGAAAATAATATATCAGTATTGTTTATATAAAAAATACTAAATTATGTTTGTTTATTAGTCAACTCAAAAATACTATACCATGCTATTACATATATATTAAGTAATATAATAATGTTGTTATTTTTAGTTTAAAAATATTGGTATTATATCATTTTCAAAAATATTAACAATTATGTCACTAACTCGAGAAAAAAATAATAAAAAATTTAATTTAATTCTAATTGAATATGCGTTTAATTCAGTTATTAGAGTAGAGAAAAAGAAAGAAAAATAAAAAAGAAGTCATTTGTAATCTTGAGGAACAATCGGAATTGTCAGCTGACATGAGACACGTGAATAAACGAGCTCTAATATTCTTTCTATCGCAACTCGACATTATCATTGATCGGGCTTTCATTGTAACTTAACTATCTTTCTTAATCACTCTTCAAGAAGATCCTCGAGGATTCGTACTATTCATGGAGCTTTACTAATGAATCCTTCAACTTGACGTTGATAAAAAATGTCTGTTTCCAACAGATAGAAAGAGAGATGAGAAGAACGGTTTTCAAGTAAAACAATGTAATCGATACTTTATTATTTCGTTATTAGTGATTCCTATTGATTAAAATAAGCTATTCTCTAAAGGATAAAAATTATCTTGAAAAAAAATATATACATACCAAGTATTCGCAATAAAATTAAATACAAAATTTTGATTTCACAAACAGGACATTTTAAAATAAAAATCTTCAAATTAAATTTATACGATTTCAAGTTAAAAATATTGTTACATTTATGGTTTTTTTTAATTAGGGAAAGATTTGTTATTAACTGCTTATCCTTAAATGGGAAGTAATATTTTGTATAATGTGGCAACTTATATTAAGAATATAAGAAAAATAATAATTGTTTGAAATGTTTGTTTCATATTTGTCTCGAATATTTCGATTATATATATTATATATTTTTTAATATTAATTTTCTCGAAGAATGTATGTGTAATATATAAGTTCACGCACGTGAGAACTTGAAGAAGTCAAGACGGTACCCTCGGTAAATTTCCAAGTACGATGAATTTCCGCACGGATGATGCAGTATGCACACATCAACGACATACGAACTGTAAATAGTTATACGCTTTGATGAACAAAGCTTGCAAGTATCGAAATCGTTTGTACATATAGCAACAATAGATTTATTCTGTGAGTAAGCAGAATTTCAACAGATATTTATTTATGATCATCAATTATTTCATATATATATTGTATAGTGTATATAATTAATCAAAAGGAATTTAAAACAATATAGGATGAATGAGAGAAAGAAATAAAATTTGTATTCATGACCAAATGATTAGTTACAATTTGATACTTGGCCCTTTTTTTTTTTTTTACATATAACAAAGAGAATTATTTTATCTAATATTTTTTTCTTTGAAATGAGGAAAAAAACAAGCATAGAAATACATTATTATACAAAAAAATTGTATAGATATATCCTAACATTTACTTATACAGAATTCAATGTTACGTTTGACACATTCAATTTTTAACATAGTCCCAATCTATTTTTCTTCCCGTCCTTGTTTCTTTCTCTTCTTCATTCATCCATCTATTCCTGATCGTAAATAGAGTCATATATTCGTTCGTAGACATCGAGTTACGTTTTCTCCAAGATTTATGTCTATGGTAGATCGAAGTGAATGACAAAAAAGAAAGTTGAATATATGTAATAAAATTCTATCACCTTTTTTTTTTTTTTTTATTGCATCCGCCATGTTACTCTCGATAAAAGAATTACATTTTGTAGAGTCATCCTAATTCATTATATATATGATGTATACATATATTTATAAAATATGATATGTATTGTATGCAGGAATTGAAAGTTATGCATGTGTGTAGTCAACGCTATTATACATGACAGAGAAATAGTGATTTTCATTTTATACTTTATTCGTGTCTTCAATATGCAATGTGTGCATCAAGAAATTTATATATATAAATATATATATATATATAACGCTGTATTAATCTCGTTTAACCGTTGAACGCGTACCGATGATATGGACGGAATATTTTATTATGACATCGATGGAACGTTGATCGGCCCTTTTGTCAGGACACAAAAGGAAAAACTTATGCGATTAATTCTCTGTTGTCGACATATACGAGTACATATACGATATATTATACACAATATGCTTTTCTATTGATTATCAAGACGTATCTACCTATAAAAGATCATAGAGCTTACGGATATATTTAAAATATAAATTCTTATGAATAGAATTATTTTACAAATATATATATATATATATATATTATATTTACACACATATATTTATATAAATTATATAAATATATTAATTATTCTAATAAATTATATAAATATTTCCATATGTAACAATAATAAAGGAATAAAAAACAAATAAAAAAAATATTAAAATATTTCCAAACAAATTGGAAAAATAAAAAAAAACTATAGGAGAATGTGTTATTGACGGTTCGGAAAAGATAAAAGTAGTAGAGTAGTATAATATAGATTCGTATGTTACGTAATAACGTAAAAATATTGCGAATAGCCTTGAAAATAAATTCCAAGGTATGTTGCTGAAGGAAAATTGTAGCAATGTAAGTAGCAGTATTCTCGATGAAGAACGGAACACGATTCTGTATTCCATGCTTGCCAATCAGTAAGATGCACTGAAGGAGAACAAGAAAAACCCGAGCTTTCTTTTCGCTATTTCAAAAGGGGAGAAAAAGTTTTCCAACGATGACCACCCAAGTGGAATATGGTAATAATATGAGAAGTAAGATCGTTGTGTGAACGCTTTGAGAATTTTCTTTCAATATACTTACTTTACTTATTACGTTACGTATTCATTCCAATGTATTCATAAGTACATAACACATATGCCTACATTGTCTTTATTACTTTCCCTTTTATTCGTTTGTGAAACGGGGTTATTTTTCTTTAAAATCCCTTTACAATCGTTTAACAAAAATTCTTACATAATATTACATTACATATATGCAATACTATCTAACCATTATAACAAACAAACAAATATATATACAATAAATAAAACCATAAAACTACGACAACCACACTTAACACATCAGATCTTACAGATAGAATCTCTTACTTATTAATATATATTTTTATTATATTATATATATCAAAATATTATGTAGGATCAATTGTAGAAACGTTCATGTGTTTGTATGTAACATATATACGTGTATCAAACTGGTCCTATTCCCGAAATAATATTGTTCCGAGAGAGAGATCTTGTTGTTACAAATTCAACGTTCGATACTTCCTGAACCTATTAACAACAGCAATTAGTGGATCCCTTAACGATGTTTCGTTAGCCAAATAGACAATAATTTACCTTCGTTTAATTGCTTATCTTCTTTCTGATTACACTTTTACACTTTTTTTTATTTTCACTGGTGTTATTTATCAGGTCAGTAGTTTTAAACATTTTCCTATAGGATATCTTAAAATATAATAATGATTTTTTAGTATTTTATAATGAAAATATTCGCATATGTGTGATAGAAAATGATGTTAATTAATATTTTGTATAATAGTATTTTAAAATTGTTTTTTTTTGGTCACCATATTTGAATAAAATATAAAATATCACGGCGGTGACATATTTTATATATTTGATTTTAACGCTTATAATTATTTATACTTAATCAAATATTCGTATATAGCTATTATTTATTTAACCAAATATAGTTGGTGAGTTAAGTAAATTAATTAAAAATATTGATCGAATAAATGAAAGAGAGCATCATAATCCTTTTATATGTTTCATTCAATTTTAATTAAAAATTTGTTTAACCATCGTGATAATGCCATTTTGCCGATAATTTTTCACGTAATTTACATACACCGAGCTACAGTTTATACCCTTAGATTAGATTCCGTGCCACTTTGTGCCATTATGAATTATTACAATTCACGCAAACACGCAAGTACGATACTTATCGTACGGCGAACTCACATTATTATTCATTGTTTTCTTAATATCGATTAAACACGCTTCTTCTTCTTCTTCTTCTGTATGGTGTAGAATTTTAAAAAAAAGTTTCTATTTACTTCTTTTAATTCACCATTCTTTCACATTTAATCTTCTACATTAAATATATATTAACAATCATATTTTAAATTGAATATATCTTGTCAAGAGAGTATTTCACATTAATTTACAATTAATAAAACACAATATTATTTGTATAATGTTCAAATGAATAATAATATTTCAATTGTTTTTTCTATTTTTCAAACGAATTATTTTTATGATCCTATGTCAAGTTAAATAAGATTTTTTGTTTCTTTTTTCTATGTCTCTTCTTCGATACAAGTAAAAAATGATGGTAGATGATTCGTTAAGTAGGTTTACTAGTTGGAGCTTTTATTTTCGAAAAGAAACT